GTGAGTGTTTGTCGCAGTGTGGCTATGGGTTTGTGTGCTATTCTGATTCCTAGTGGTCGTAGGAGCCTCGTCAGTTCCAAAATGTTCTTGACATACGGTAAGTGTGGCCAGTGTATTAGGTCATATTATGTCCTCTTGGTGTTGTCCGTAGGCATCTGCGGATGAACTTGGTGGGGTACCCACTGTACCCATTGTCTCCCTAACGGGCACACTTACTTACAGGCTAGCCAAGGGCCTACAACAAAGACTGAAACATCTGGTCCACGGATCATTTCACTCCATCCACTCAACCCAGGAATTCCCTAATAACCTCAAGAACATCAAAATCAACGACGACGAGATTATTTTATCATTTGACGTTACAGCGCTATTCACGTCCATTGACATCCCACTAGCCAAAGAAACACTTGCCACATTACTAGAGGAAACAGGAATGCCGACCGACAGCTCCATCAGCAAGGACAACATACTCAGACTACTGGACCTATGCCTCACCACACACTTCACCTTTAACGGTCAAGTATATAAACAGATTAATGGCATACCTATGGGGTCACCCATCTCACAACTTATTGCAGAGGCAGTCATGCAAAGGTTGGAACACAAGACCCTCCCCCGCATACAGCCAAAACTGTGGATACAATAGTGGATGACACATTTGTCATCATTAAACACGCTAAGTTAGAAGTGACACACCACCTCATCAACAACGTACGCACCAGGATCAAATTTACAAGAGAAGAGGAAAACAACAATCAACTTCCATTCCTAGATACCAGGAGTAGAACAAATGACGAATGGGGAATTCCTAACCACAGTACACAGGAAGGCAACCCACAACTGACCAAATCCTCAATTTCCACAGCAATTACCCCAACATCCACAATCAAAGCTGTGTAAGGACACTATTCAAACAAACCACAACCCATTGCAACACACCAGAACAATGCAAGAAGGAGGAAGAGCACCTAAAGAAAGTCTTCGCTATCAATGGATACCCCACCAACTTCATCCGCAGATGCCGACTAGATAGACAACACCAAGAGGACACAATACAATCTAATACACTGGTCACACTTAGCGTATGTCAAGAATATATTGGAGCTTACAATGAGACTGCTACGATCACCAGGAATCAGGATAGCACACAAACCCATAGTCATACTGCGACAAACACTCACAAGGACCATACCCACGACATGCAGGACCAGCATGGTTTACAGAATACCATGCAAGGGCCGCCAAAAACATTACACCTGCCAGACAGAAAGGAAACTAGCCATCAGGATACACGAACACCAGCTAGCAGCAAAACGACACGACAAACTTTCCCTCATTTCAGTACAGTCAGACAACAAAGGCCATTAATTTAACTTGGACGACATGACCGTCCTAGCTCAAGCTAACCATAGACACGTACGGGAATTCCTAGAGGCCTGGTTCTCCAATAAACATGTGGAATTAGGCCCCATATACAAACCCTTGCAAAAGAGAACTGGAAATGACACAAAACATCCCAACAGACCAGACCATATAAATATGAAGCGGAGTAGAACTGTATCACTTCATCGGAGGCCACACTGATGATGTTACCTAGCATGGTGACAGAATGGCTGAACTATAACCAGCTAGCTCGGCAAACAAGTCAACAACCTCACACACATATTCATACACAGACAGAAGAAAGAAACAGACAACACAGACTTATACAGCAATTGTGGGGGGAAAAATGCAGAAATTTCTGTAGATCAGGAGTTCAAACTAAAAGAATAGAATGAGTTGGCTTTCTCATCGTTCCTTTGGTTTCCGATCAACTAGTTCCTGCTGCTGTCAGTTGTAGAATGATGGGAAACCTTCAGACCAGTTTTCAGATTCAGAGGAGAAGCAGATAGCAGTCCTGATATTTGACGCTTTATCTGGTTTTCTTCCAAATTATCACACAGAAAGATCTACTGTCAACTCTGAGCTTCAACTGTAACAGTCTGAGAGAGAAGGTCCTACATCCTTGCAACATCTCCAGTAACTACCCAGAATTTCTACGAGTGTATTGTAATAAACACCTAGTATCTCAGTCCAGAGGCTGTTGCTAGGTAATAGCAGTACAGATTCATGAGCATTTCTCAGATCTGTTTTCTCAACAATTATAGTAATAAAACTCCACCCTTATCTCTTTAAAAAAAATTGTTGAGCACTGCTTCCTAAAGTGTCTTGTTTATTTTTCATAAACAGGTAATAGATCTTAGTCTCCTTTAATGCTTTCACTTGCAGTTCCATGCAAACACATGATCAATCCTTTACAACTTTCAATAGGCAAATATCAGTTTTACAGTTCTCATAATTCATAAATATATGCATTCTCAGCAGTATAAATACGGTGGGTCCAAAAGCAGATCCGAGGCTGGGGTGTCTGCAAAGAATCACTTGCCTCCTGACTCTTCAAAGCCTGTCTACATTTGACAAGATGCATGTCAGGTATGTAACAGAATACTTTCCACTTTCCATGATGGGTGAAGATCCAACAACACTCAAGAGTTTGATACTACCCAGGGCAAAGCAGTCCTCTGAATTCAAAGCCTATCCACTACCTTAAATGTTCACTCCCTCCATCACCAACATACAATAGCAGCAGTACATATCTTCAAGACGGACAGCAGAAACCTATCAGGCTTCTATCAGCAGGATCTTCTACACCGTCTCTGGGTCAAAATGCTGAAATTCTCTTCCGAACAGCACTGTGGGTGCACTCGTACCACATGAACTGCAGTGATTCAAGAAGATGGCTTGCCAAAAAGTTCCAAAAGGTAACTAGAGATGGAAAAAGTGCTGGTAAGCATACAGATCAATAAAATCTTTGTTACCTGGCTAGAATCCATCCCCTTCTCTCTGGCAACTACCAGAAACTCAACTAAATTCTTAACAAACTCATATCATTTTTGGTCTAGAATTGAGCTTCCAGCCACGTATCTGTTTACATCTATCTCTGCAATATTGCCTGACTCTGCTCTAGCCTCAATTTGTCTGCTGCTGAAAGTCTTATCAATGCTTTTGTTACCTCCAGACTTGACCATGCCAGCACACTCCTGGCCAGCCTACGATGGTCTACATTTTGTCAATCTGAAGTCATCCAAACATTTACTGCCCATTCTCTTAGTAGCACCAAGCCCCATTTTTCCACTGATCCTGTGTTCACTGACCTTCAATGGATTATGTTCAAGCAACACCTCAATTTCAAAAACCTTTTCTTTCAAATCTAACCACAGCCTCATCCTACCTTACCTCAACAATCTCCTCCAGTTCCACAAATCTCTAAGATATCAGCTCTCACCTAACTCTGGCCCATTGATCACCCACAGTTTTAACTTTTCCACTATTTAACTGTCTGTTACATCCAGACCCTGGGCAAAGTTCCCCAATTGTTATGGTTGCAGAAAGGATAAGCCAAATCGTTAAGCTTCAAGGTGAGAAGGAATGAACTGGCCTACCTTGATTATTCACATAAGCCTTGGTTGGCATAACAAGTTTAATTTAAAAATGTTTGCTTGACTTGCGGATACCTTTCCCCCAGGCCTGAATATTTCAAAAGGAGCCAATTTACCCACATTTTCCAGAATTAACAATAAAGGTTGCATTTATTAATTATTAAATGCTAAAAGAAATAGCAAAATAACACATATACATTTAGCAGAAATAAGACATTACTCTTGACAGTAACTGAATTCCAGTATTCAGAATGAAGAAGAGTCTTTTACTTTGTTTGACCTACAGTGCTTAAACTGGTTATTCTCAAAGCTGTGGGCCTCACAGCACTCTAGTCCACACACTGATACAACTGGCCAATAACACATAAACTAGTGCTGCAAACAGTTCTGAACTTCTTTTTGAATCAGAGATAGTAGGAACTGCAGATGCTGGAGAATCCGAGACAACAAGGTGCAGGGCTGGATGAACACAGCAGGCCAAGCAGCATCATAGGAGCAGAAAGGCTGACGTTTCGGGCCTAGACCCTCACCTTTACTGGCTCCATCCCCGCCTCTTCGACCTGTTTGTTTCCTCTCCACCTATCCTCTCCTCTATCCCTCTTCTATCCGCCTCCCACTCTCTCCCTATTTATTTCAAAACCCCCTTCCCCTCCCCCTTTTCTGATGAAGGGTCTAGGCCCGAAACGTCAGCCTCTCTGCTCACATGATGCTGCTTGGCCTGCTGTGTTCATCCAGCCCTGCACCTTGTTGTCTCTGAACTTCTTTTTGTACGGTTAATCAGATATATCTGCAAGAATGACTTTCTGTTGAGAGGGGGAGTAAGCCCCTTTGTTATATCTCCTTGTTAATTCATTCCTGTGTGGTTTCCTTATGTGATAGTACACTGGCTTCACACAGGACTTTACAGGTCGCTGAATTACATTGGCTTTTTTTTTCTGTAGTGATCTTCTTTTTAAAGGAAAACATACTTTGGAATTAAAAGTAAAATATATCTATACATAGTTATGGATTCTGATCCACTGGTGTAAGATAATCCAAGCTCTGAAACTTCTTGTCTAAATCCTTTCATATTTGTCTCATTTTTTGCTTTGCAGTTCTTCTTCAATGTTCCTTGGGAGACTTTCATACATTTAAGGCGAGCCAAAGCATTCTACTATATTCTAGGACTGGATTTAGATTCTTTTCCAATGCATCATCAACTCCAGACCATTGTGTTTTTTTCTGAACATCTGATTTTAGTTTATCCAAGATCATACCAGTAAAGATAAACTGAAATGACAATATGCTCAGACAAACTGAGGTCCATAATTGTTGGTTGGAATGATTTGTAGACTCGATCCCAACTCTAGAATTCGGCTTCACATTGACATGGAGAGAATGCACTCTCGATATATTTCGATGAGCTTCGATGGAGAAGTGACAATTATTTATCTCTCCCTTATACAATTATCATGTTATTGTATTAGCACTTCAAATGGAGACAATTGCATCCCTTTATGAGAATGAAAGTTCATACAATACCTTCAGTGAGATGGAAGGAACTGCAATGTCTACAGTGTTGTCAGCTGCCTGCTGAGAAAAAAAAACTTTCATCATTAAATTCTAACTGATTAAGACGCCTGGCTGCTTTTGGTATTTGCAACTTGCAGTTTAATGAGTGATAACAGTAAGTTCACTATAAACTACACATGATTCCATCCATTTAATACTTTTACAGTCTCTAGTTCTTCTATTACAGCACCCTCAAATTAAAAGCTTGGTGCATTCGGAATCAACATTAGTTTACCTTATAAACTCTTACTGTATTACATGACAGAGTCATCCGTCTTCCTGGACTGCTAGTTTAATGGTTAACTGCAACTTTGATATTACATTTTTTCTACTACAAACAAAACTCTTTCAAACAATTATAAATGCCAAAGCCAGATCCAGACATATATTATTCAATTTTTAATATTACTCACAGCATATGACCATTCAATGTAGACTTAGGTAAGTAGGATATATTTACTTCTTCATCAAGCAGTAAACGTTTTCTCTGTTTTCTGAACTATTTCATTGATTATTCCAGAGACCAAATCATAAAGTATTGTTGGTGGGAAACTGCTTACGACCATTCAGTTATCATTTTCCTGTTATTTCCCCCTCAGATTACATTGGCACTTGATTTGCAAAAAGTGAAAGAAAGATGCCTTAAATACTTATTTGGCCTCACATACAGAAATTACATCCAGGCTTGGGGCGACGGAAACAGCAACTTTCAAGTCATCATCATTTTCAGCCTTATGCAAAATATCTGAAAGAAAAAGGAGCAAAATTGCAGCAGAAACTATGCAATTATCTTCAATGCAGTACATGCTTTAATGAGATTACCAGATTTGAAACACAAACTAACTTCTGTCATCAAGAGAACAACAAAGGTCTAATGAATTTGTTTGGTCATGTCAACTAATGTCAGAAAATTCCAATATGTGCCTTTTGTAGTAATGGAGAGACCATAAATTAAAATTGGGTCAAAATTAGGGAATTGGCATGGGCATTATTGTTTAAAATCTGGAAAGTTGAAGCACTTTATGTCTGAACCTATTTTCAGAAAACTACTCCACAAATTATGTTTCAGTTATTACCCATATTCGATTAAAAACATGAATTACAAGTTTCAACTTAATTAATTGAACTATTAGGTACCAAATTTGGGGCATGGGGCTTTGAAAATTATGGTTCCAAAATATTTCTATTGTTTTAACTGTCTCAACATTGTTTATTTTCCATTTTCTTCCACTCCTTTCTCTTATTTCCTCTCTTTATTGTCCACTCAACCACCACTCTTGGCTCTGGGAGAAATGTTGAACATTTCCTACCAATGGTTAATCAGCAACAGTATCCTGATTACTGTTATCAGCTGTTTTTCCAAGATGTAAGCAGAGTTTTCGTAGCATTATGTTGGTGATGATTAATCAGATCATTTTCCTGTTTTGCTTTTCTTTCTGAACTTGGGTTAAGGCTTCAAATCCCATTGCTTTTTTTCCTTTGACTCTATTATTAAGTAAAGGCAAAAGCAAAATACCACAGATGTGGGAAATCTAATGGGATCTGTGCACAAAGAAACAGACTTAACATTTTAGTTCTGAAGAAAGATCATCAACCTGAGACATCAGTGTTGTTTTTCTGTCTCCACAAATACTGCCAAATCTGCAAAGTATTTCCAGAGCTTTCTGTTTTTAGGGAAAAATAAGGAATGTTTTCATTGCTGGTAAATTATAATCGCATTCAAATACTGTTCTGCAGTACTGTCGATGTAAGAATTTGAGGATAGCAATCTTTGGTTAAGACAACAGCATACGTTGAATAAGAAGTGAAAGATAAGAAGAAAGGGAAATTGAGTGGTATAAAAGGATAAGTACTGCCTCTTCTCTGGAACCCAGGATTAAATCTAAGCCATCTAAGAGATGAACATCTCTTTATGGGCATATATCATATGTGCTAAGTGGCAATTTCCCTCAACAAACACACAGGATGGCTGGTGTGAGAAATGGATAAATATTTCACCACAGGGGATGGTCTTTTCAAAAACTGGAAAATTATTCCATTCTGAGCAACTAACGTCTCATTTTTATAACCATTTAGTCAAAATAAGTGGATAGAACAGTGGGAACGGGCTCTGAATACGTTTCTGATTAAATAAGAGTGCAGCCAAAAACCTACTGTATGCTTATATTAGAAAGGAAACCCATAAGGCAAAATAGTGATAAAATTTTTGTTGGGTTGAATAGATACAATTTGCCATTTACACATACTGGATAAAAGACATGTCACTCTTCTTCTTAAGGAGGGTGAAAGAGGAAAACAAGGGAGTTACAGGCCACTTAGCCTAACATCTGTGGTGGGGAAATTGTTGGGGTCTATAATCAAGGATGGGGTAAGAATAATGAGAAAATTTTCAGTTAATCACGGAAAGCCAGCATAGATTCATGACAAGTTCATCATGACTGTCAAACCTAATTGAATTTTTTGAAGAGTGACTAATGTAGTGGACAGAGGAATATCTACGGATATTATTTATATGAACTTCCAGAAGGCATTTGATAAACTCCCACATATGAGACTGCTAACTAAGACAGAATTCCACGGAATTGATGGCAACTTACTAACATGATTGGGAAATTGGTTAAGTGGCAGGAGGCAGAAAGTAGGGATAATAGGTAGGTACTCAAATTGGCAAGATATTACCAGCGGTGTCCCATAGGAATCTGAGTTAGGGCCTCAGTTATTCACATTATTATTAATGACTTGGATAATGATATAGAAAGTCTAATATATCCAAATTTGTTGGTGACACAAATTTAGGTGGCATTGTAGAAACAGTAGATAATAGCATAAAATTACAAACGGTATTGACAGACTAGTTGGATTGGCAAAACTGTGGCAGATGAAGTACAATGTAAGGAACTGTGAGGTTATCTATTTTGGACCATCAAAGGTTAGATCAGGCTATTTTCTAGATGCAATTAAGTTAAACACAGTTTATGTCGAAGATGACTTGAGGGTTCGGGTGCAAAGATCTTTAAAATGCCATAAATATTCAAGGCAGCTGATAGAATGCTGGCCTTTTTATCTAGGGGACTGGAATATGGGACCCAGAAGTTATGTCACAGCTATACAGAACTCTGTTTAGACTCCACTTGGAACTTCCATAAACAGATCTGGGTACCATACCTTAGGAAGGATATATTGGCCTCGGAGGGAGTGCAACATCGGTTTACAAGAATGATACCAGATTTCAGGGGCTAAGTTATGAAGAGAGATTATATAAATTAGACCGATTTTCTCTAGAATTTAAAAGGTTGAGGCGTGGTTGAAATCTTTAAGATATTAACAGGAAAAGGCATGATAGGTAAAGAAAAACTATTTCCACTGGTTGGACATTCTAGAACTATGCAGCATAGTCTAAAAATTAGAGGCAGTTCATTCAGGAGAGATGATAGGAAGCACTCCTACATACAAAGGGTGGTAGATGTTTGGAACTCTTTTCCACGAATGGCAGTTGTTAAGTTTAGATCTGAGATAGATTTTTTTTTGTTAAGCAAGGGTATTAAGGGATATGCGCCAAAGGCAGGTATATGGAGTTAGACCACAGATCAGCCAAGACCTCACTGAATGGCAGAACAGGTTTGATGGGCTGAATGGCCTACTCCTGTTCCTATGTTAAAAATGCAAAGAATGTCAGGCAACATCTGAAAAAGAAATACAGATTTGCAGTTTGGGTGCAACAGAGTGAGAAATGTCAGGAGAAGAGATTTTTCAGCTGAACAGAGAAAAGTAGAGAGCATCTATTTCTTTAACACTTCTCCAACTTCTCACGAGCACTCTGCTTATCATGGTGCTGTTTCTTCCTGTGTGCACAAGTGTGCAATTCTTCACCTCATTTTTTTTAAATACTGTTCATCTATAACACCCGAAACTCTGACGGAGATCACATGCGAGGAAAAGATATTTTCATGATTTGGTGTGAACACAGTGTGGTGTTAAAAATGTAGCAAACCTCATTCAATAAGGTGCAATTTTCTCTGAGGGCTTTTACAAAGAAACCAAGAGCAAAAGAACAAGTGATTATTCCCATTGGTTCTGTGACTTCTAATTGTACTCTGCAGGGACTTCAACAATGTATTCTACAGAGACAGATGATATCACTGGCACCATCTTCTGGATTTCTGTGTTTGACTGCCTGTGTGCAGGCTGAAGAAGCAGCTAACAGTTTTATAAAAGTGATAGTAGTGCATGTTATTACCACTGCAAAATCTTCACTGCTGGCTATTATCCATGAACACAATGTCAAAACCACCGTGGAAGTGCACTGGAAATTAAGTCCCATTATTTCTGGAGTTGTCACAAATGTGACAATTTGATTAAACTACTAAACTGCACAATTTTATCTACCTGACCCAAATTAGAAGAAAGTAACTTTGTTATAACCATATTGTTTTTAATCTATGGCAAAAACAAATATGAGTTCCTAACTTATAAACTCTTAAATTGAACTACCCCTTTCTAAAATTCCCATTGACATACAAACAGACATGACACCGAGACACAAATATCATGGGCTGGAAACGTAAAAAAAGTCAAAATAGCCAGTCCAGATCACAGATATTGATAGGTTATTTTCCCTCAGTTTTCTCCTGACAATTCTTTGCTAATGATGCATGGTTGTGGATACACCAATTGTCTGCCTTCATTTACTAGTTGAGGATTCATCTTTTCATTGCCTCTGAATGCGTTTTTTTTCTTTTTCCTTTCAACAAGCAAATTTGTAGAGAGCAGATCAGAGGAAGATGGTGAGCAAGAACAGCTACTAGGAGATTTTCTGTTATTTCTCCACACAGGAGAGAGAGAAGTAGAATTAGGTGTTTTATCTTTGTAGGCTAGAATCATCTCCTGTATTGTCCACACACAACTTTCCCAGGAAAAAATGAAGACGTTTTTAGTATACTGAACTCTCGTGAACTAATGCCACTGGTTCTGATTGAAACACACACACACGCACACACACACACACTCTCTCTCTCTCTCTCTCTCTCTCTCTCTCTCTCACACACACACACACACACACACACACACACATTCTCTCTCTTTCCTGTTAAATAAGGCAACGCTGTAGATACACCTCACAATGAGCTCCAGTAACTAATTTTTAAAACTGCAGACATCTTTTTCCATGGTTTCCTTGATTTAAAGCAGTATCTATTCCCATTATTTTGTCAATAGTCCAAAAATAAAGAAAACATACACGTATGGTCTTTAGAACTAAAGTCAATGGGTGTCAATGCTGTATCTAACATGTAGCTTTCAGGGAAATACATTATTTAGCAAATTAGAGATCACCACATTAAACAAAGAAACATTTTTCAAATTGAGGAATTTTCATCACTTTTGATTCTTTGTGCACCTTGTGATTTTGTAGCTTCCCTGATGACCTTGAGAAGTTCTTTCATTTCTTTGTCCATTTCATCATAATCCAGTTCTCTAGATTCCACTTTTGGAGCCTGGAAGAAGGAAGGATCCGTGCCCAAGTATGAGCACTGCAAATGGCCACCATCACTTAAAGTCACCACTACTCCCTTCAAGTCCCTGCACAGGAAACAGTTTAAAACATTTACAGATTTAATGCTGACTGATTTTTTAAAAATCACTTTTATTTCTTTCCATTTCTGTAAAATATTCACTTTGACAAAAATAATAAAAATGCAACTACTCAAATGGAAAACAACTGCAGAATTCTGGGGTGTAAAGGGACTTAGGTGTTCTGGTGCATGAGTCACAAAAGTTAGTACGTGGTTACAGCATATCACCAGCATATTATTACAAAAGGAATTGAACATAGAAGTAAGGATATTAAGCTTCAGTTATAAGAGTAGTAGTAAGACCACATCTCAAAAACTGTGTAGTTTTGGTCTCCTTATTTAAGATATTATGTCAATGCATTGAAGGTGATTCAGAGAAGATTTACTAGACTGATACTTGGAATGAACGGATTATCGTATGAGGATAACTTGGTCAGGGCAGGCTGGTTTCTACAGGGGTTAAGGAGAGTGAGGAGTAACTCGATTGAAATGTATAGGGTCCTGAATGATCTTGACAAGGTGGATATGGAAAGGATGTTTCTTCTGCAGGTTATCCAGAACCAGGGGCACTGTTTTAAAATTAGGCATTGCCTTTCAGGGTAGAGATCAGAAATGTTTTTAACTCAGAGGGTTGCAAGACTTTGGAATTCTACTTCTGAAAGTAGTGATAGTGATGGTGGTGGTGTTGTTGTCGGTGGAGATGGGGTGGAAGGGAGCGGTTTGGTTTATCATTGAATATTTTTATGACAGAGATGGATAGATTCTTGTCCCAGAGGGAAAAAAAAACTGCAATAAATCAACAATACTGAGAAATAAATACTGGTGCTCCATTTTTGTTACAAAACAAGTCAGACCAGCAGTGTCATTCACATATTCTGCTTGTTTTTCTTTCTGCATCAGCAGGGGAGTCAAGGGTCATTGGGATAAGATGGGAGTATAAAATTCAAAACACAAACAAATCAGCCACAAACTTACTGAATGGCAGAGAAGGATCGAGAGACTGAAAAGGCTACTTTGGTTCCTCTTTCATAAGCTTGTATTTGTCAGTGTTGTTGTTACACTAATGTTCAAAACTGAAGGTATATACAACTTTGTAAATGACAAATTTCTTTTTTGCCATAATTTTTTTTTAACACTGCAAGCTCAACATCAAGAATCAGGACCTAGGCACTGTAGAGTAAATACCTTTTAAAATTAAGCTATCAAATTGTCCTTACTTTGAGCCCCAGGTTGCTTTAAACTCTTCCAGCCCTGTGACTAGGCTTCAGAAGAGATTGAGCATTGATTCTGCAAGATTCTGATCCATTAATGGATCAATCAAGCAGCTGCAATCCATGGGCTTCCCCTCTTATTTGCTGCTCAACTGTTACGGCATTTAAAGAAAGCATGCACCTCACATTATGGACAGGGACCTGGAGACGCTGGCAGATAGTGTGATGCAGAGGATGGACATCCTTTTCCCAGTTAACTTCCACTAAAAGCCATGCAACCAGACCACGGTAGCCTGGATCCAGAGAGCAGCCTCAGTCAGTGTTGTGTCCTGGTTGAAGCAGGATGCCCAGCAGTGCAGAAACAAGATCTATGATCTTCTGCGCAACACAAGAGCCAGCACCACCATCTTCTCATAAAGACAGGGCCAGCATTCGATCTAACTTTGCCTCTGCATTTACACAAGGCACATGGACAACAGATCTCACTTTTGTACGTACATGTTCACTCAACAGCTCTCGCCACCTTATTCTCCCAAACTGCTAAACCTTCCCGGCCTCAATGACCAATCAACCTAGTAAGCGTCATTGTGCTCTGTTGTGGTGCATTGCTATTTCCTTGCCACAAGTGCGAATTTATTCTTAATCTGCACAGTCTTTTAACCTTCTTAGACAACTAATTCCCTGTCTTTTCTTACATAGGCGCTAGCAGCACCCAGTGAAACTCTGCCCCAAAAAGACCAGTACCAGAAACCCAAATTCAATCTTCACCTCTGAGGAGGAATTTACTGAACTATCTGAGGATGCATCAGCAAGTTTTACCTGTACCTGGAGACTTTCACTCCATGTAGATTAGATGCAGGAGCACAACCACTGATATGCCTCTACAACTGTTCAAAGAGGAATCACACCAGGTTTCTGGTATCCATAGGAATGAGGGAGACCAGAAACCTGTTCAAACTCAGCCAGATGATCCCATGGTCATAGCCATCAATACTTTTGTCAAAATGTAGGCACAGCAGCAGCAAGCAGACTTATCAGAATCAGTTGGTAAATGGGTTCAAAGGATGGAGGAATCTACCAAAGTTATCAGTGCAGTGCTGGCTCCACCATGCATCCAGATAGCTGTATCCATGATCAGGTTAGCAACTGCCATGGAGACCCATGTCCAGCGTACTCAATGTCTGCCAAATATGTGTACAGAATAACGCTTTTGTCGCTCTAGCCACAGATGCCCAGCATGAATCGCAAAGTGAGAGGGATATGGGGGACCTCTTCCACTCAGGGAAACACAGTAGTGTCAGCAGGAACCCCTTTAGGATCCCCAAAAGATTCTCATAAGCAAACTCCAAAGATGCCTGGCCCTTCCGCTCCAACCCCATCCCAAAGCGTACAGACATACAAACCACTGCATCTGGGCAGAACACTTTCTCAGCAGGCCTGGGTTATTTAGGCCCAAAGGCAGCTGGGAAAGACTGCCCAACTTTTCCAGGCCAACAGGAACAACAGCAGAACAGGCTTCCTCCACTCCAGCTGCTGAAGCTGGGACTGCACTTAGAAACAGTAGGAGTCAAATGAAGAAAGAAAACTTAACTGAGGGCACATTGATGGCATGGGTGACATCTTTGTGGATTAATTTTCACTTTTGTAAATCTATATTCACCTGCACTTTGTGCTATGCTGTAGTTTTCTCTGTTGCATCTGGTTAATTCATGTCCTGCGAGAAATGAGCAATCTCTGCAGATATCCCAAAGATGAAAGAAGTGCATTCACCAAACATTACTCATCCCTCAAAAGCTACCAACTCCTTGACTGCAGATTATCTCAGATATCTACCAATCGTGCCATTTTCCAAACAATCAGCATACTTTCCATGCAGTGCAAACTGTCTTTCCCTTTGAGGTTTGGTATTCTTGTGATTCTGTCCCAATAAGAGCAAGATAAAAAGTTTTTGAAAGCACATCTTATTTTTCAGCAATCCTCGAGTTCTGTATTACCAAGCCACTACTTACATAATTATTTCTATTGCAAATATTCTTTCAAACTGGCAAGCTGCTGTGAGAACAAAAAAAAAGCAAAGCTACCTTGGCTCACAAGAGGTTAGAAAAACTTCTGTTGTATCGAATTTCACTTTATCATCACTCTCAACTTAGGAGGTCGGAGGCTAAAAGGATTGTGCATCAAGAGAAGTGAAAGTGTAGATACAGTCTGATAAAACTAAAAGAAAGCCAACAGACTTCAAACAACTTTGGATCTCTTAGTCCAACTCCCGACACAATGATAAAAGATTTTTCTGTGTGTTGTTATCACCAAAAATTTCTAAGGAAAGGTCATCTACAATGGCATCAGTTCTATTGGGCATCCCTGTAACAAAAATAACCACAGCATAGTCGATGCAATATAAAACTGATTCAATATACTGATAGATGTTAAGCAATACCGATACATTTTTAAAGAGAAATGAGTAAATTTGATACTGTACACAACAACTATATGATATAAGAATAGCCTCTTCGATGTAGATCTGCTTCAGCAAAAGCTTGCACAGGATGCTTGTAAACTATTTGACAGAAACTATAGACATGGGGCAACTCATTTAAACACTGTTGACAGATTGTCTCTTTAATGTGGGACCAATATTATAAGTAAAGTAAGTAATGAAGTAGAAAGGAGTCAACTCATGTGTGACACACAACAATGCAAAGAAAACCTATTAGTCCAAGCTCCTGTAATTTTGATTACCAGACATCTCTTTGCAGACAATTACATTTATTTACATGTATTAAGGACTTAATCAACAGCAAAGCATCTGTAATTTATGAAAAGCCAGTCATATTCGTATTGCTAAGCAGAGAGTCATAGAATCATACAGCATGGAAACAGAACCTTTGGTCCAACTAGTCCACGCTGACTATGTTCCCAAACTAAACTAGTCCCATTTGCCTGCATTTGGTCCATATCCCTCCAAAACTTTCCTATTTGTGTACTTATCCAAATGTGTTTTCAATGTTGCAACTGTGCCTACATCTACCACTCCTCTGGCAGTTCCTTCCGCACACAAACCACTCTCTGTGTAAAAAATGTTACCCCTCAGGTCCTTTTTAAGTCTTCTTTCCCTCAACTTAAAAATATTCTCCCTAGTTTTGAACTCCCCCATCCTAGGGAAAAGACCCTTACTATCTACCTTATCTATGCCTCTCACGATTTTATAAACCTCTCTTATAATCGCCTCTCAACCTCCTACACTCCAGTGAAAAAACTCTCAGCCTATCCAGCTTATATTGATAACTCAAACCCTCCATTCCTAGTAAATCTTTTCTGAATCCTCTCCAATTTGATAATATCCTTCCTTTTGCAGGGCAACCAGAACTGCACACAGTACTCCAAAAGAGGCCTCACCAATGTCCTGTACAACCTCAACATTACATCCCAACTCCTATACTCATAGGTCTGAGCATTGAAGGCAAGCATGCTAAATGCCTCCTTAACCGCTCTGTCTCCCTGTGAGGCAAATTTCAAAAAATTATGTACCCGAACCCCTAGGTCTCTCTGTTCTACAGAAGTACCCAGGGCCATGCTATTCATTTTATAAGTCCTGCCCTTGTTTATTTAATCAAATGCAATACCTCACATTTATCCAAATTAAACTCCATCTGCCACTCCTCAGCCCATTGACCCAGTTGATCAAGATCTCTTTGTAATCCTTGATAATCTTCTTCACTGTCACAATACCACCAACTTTAATGTAAGCTGCAAATTTACTAACCATGCCTCCTACACTCTCATCTAAATTGTTTCTAGAAATCAAATAATCCTGTCGATAAGTTCAACTGTGCAATTTACAATTCCCTAAAAAACACAACTACAGTACGTAATGCTTTCTAGCCACTTACCAAACAAAACCACAAATGAGAACATAGGAATAGGAAGAAAATAGAAAGCATTACTGAAAAATAGGTAATTATTTTGTGTCGGAGTTTAAAACTATCTTTGAGATTGGTCCCAATGAAAATAGGCATTATTTGCACTATCATGTCTGTGATGGAGTTTCATCCTTAAGAGAATCAAGCTTGTACTTGTTGCTCAAAAATAAACAGATGTTCCAAAATAAGCTGAGCCATTTTACATCAAGAATGGAGCCGTGGTGTTGTGCCTTCAACATCACAGAAGTAGAATCTAGTGTTATGTTGGGGGAAATACAATATGATATGCCGGATAAAAACCAGAAGAACTGTGGATGCTGTAAATCAGGAACAAAAACAAAGTTGCTGGAAAAGCTCAGCAGGTCTGGCAGCATCTGTGGAGGAGAAAACAGAGTTAACGTTTCGGGTCCGGTGACCCTTCCTCAGAACTGCCGGAATTTGCAGAGGGAGAAGATTTGCTTATTTTAATTTCTGTGCACATACCTTGTAGGCACAATAAGGATAGACTGACTAATCAGCAAGAAACTGAAGCAGGACATGTGTCTTCATAGATGGCTACTGAAATTGTAATTTGGAAATGGAAAACTAGAACCTTATGCCAATGATAATACTTCGGAAACATTTTACTTTCTGCGTGACGAGGTAATGTACAGGGTCAGCAGGGGAAAACGGCAAAGAATAGGAGTCAACTTCAACAATTCAATAATTAATTATCCCATTATTGTGAAAGACAGGAAGTCCTAATTATTTCTACTACTTTTTGAAAGACCTCAATCAGTAATTCAAAAAAAGTTATAAATGAATGCAAGTTATTGCATTTTCAAGATTAAAATCCTGTTAGATTTCTCTAATAAATCAAAGCAGCAAGTACGCATTTTATTTCAATCCTTCTTATATTTCTATTATGTTAGGAAAGAAGTTGGTATTTCAAGTTAATAACGAAGTCATTCATAGCACTTTTATGAAAGAACTGTGCATTATTCTATGAATGTAAGGATCCCAAGTATGAAATAATAAAATCTTTTAGACAGATGTCTATTAGAGATGATGCCATTTTGATTTCAACAGAGAATAAACATTTGATTTTCAAAATACTAGTCATTTTTGCCACACCTTACTTACATCCTGTGATCTGCACCATTTCAAAATAAACCAGGCAAGGTGTCTGCGCTATTATATTACACCATAACTGGGAAATAGATTATTAAATACATCCTGCTACATTGCAGTGACAGTGATAGATTTTTTTTAAACGTTGGGATACTCACTGGAAGTTTGCAACATGTACAGACACAGGAACATGAGGAAGCTGTGCAACCCATTTCAGAGTTACATCTTGGTATATCAGCAGTTTGTTATTGTGGTTCCCAATAAGAGTGTTTATTGTTCCTTCCAACACTACAAGGTAAACAACGGAAGAAATAAATTACTCATTTTCCTAACAAAACAAGCATCATACATAATATAGTATTCTCACATCTATGAGCAAATTTGTCTTTCCTGTTTTAACTCACTGGGGATCATAACAATTTACGTAACACTATACAGAGGTTACAATGTTTCAATTTGTTAAGCCAAAGCACTTCACAAAGTCAAGCTTGAACATATTTCCCAGCACCAGCAATGCCTGATGTGCATGCAAGTAAATATGACTGGATTTTATGGAAATGTTTTCATGTGATAAAGTTGGAGTAGCAATTGGAAAAAGCATCATATTGTTTTCAGATCTTGGCATGTCCAGTAAATTTCTCAGCAACTCTATGACTTGTTAACGTACTTTCCCAAGTTATGGTACACAGCTGACTAAACCTTCAGAAAATATTTGTCTTATCTGACGAGGATCAATTTACACTTTTTAAATTATACAACATAAAGATCAGAGCTGGTTTATGCAGAACATTTCCTCGATGCAGCTTACAATTAGAAAATTAGAGATGACAAAAGGCAAAAAGAATTGACTCAGGAATACACTGAAATTTCTTAATAAATAAAATTCAACGGGATATACATCAATCAGTTCAAAGGAGCTGAGAAAAATCAAGCCCAATGGCCCAGATATTCCAATTACCATCAGAATAAATACGATCAACAGTAAGCCTCTTTAAAGTTACCCACTTTCTTAACTGTAAATTTTCTGACCAAGATTCTGATTATACCTGTCCCACATACATCCATTAGAGGATATTGGGGAGAAATTCACTCAGCGCAGGTGTAGTATCACAGGCCAAAACACACTTCTTTTTCTTAAGCCACATGATGTCGTATTTCAGGAAAAAGTAATCCCAGTGACACCTTCAAGTAGCTGTGGAAAGCTAAGTGGCAAGGATAACTGAGAGGGTAGGCAGTCAGGTGGGTTGGTGGTGGGTAGTGTGCTAAATGAGTCTTGTAGAGTTGGGCTGCACTGGACTGGGTCCACCAGGTCAACCGGGACTGGGTTTGGTGGAGCAAGACAAAGTCCAGTGGAGGCATGTCAGATCCAGCAGGGTTGGGCTCAGCCCAGATCCAGCTACCAAGCTAGTCCAGGCCAAGTTAGGCTGGTGGGTGGGACTGTTAGGTCAGAGGGTGAGTGTGTGAGTTCAGGGTGTCAGGGCTAGGATGTGAAGAGGAGTCAGAGGTGACTTAGGGGTTAACTTAATAGTTACTCAGGAGTTCATCTATGTATTTAATCCTCTACCTTTTCCTGGGTTACTATTAAGTTCCGATGAGTCGGCACCTTCTGAATTTTCCAACTATAATAGACTATGATTGTTAAACAAATAAGCCTTAAGGCCTTGTATCTTAACACATGAAGCATTCACATTAAATTGAATGAATTAGCCATGTAAATAGATATAAATTCATCTGATATAGTTGGAATTATAGTTGGATATATTGGATACCTAGCTGCAGGGTGACTAGAATGGGGCCTGAAAGTCTAGGGGTATTCAGTTTTTAGCAAGGAAAGACATAAAGCAAAAGGAGGTGGGGTAGCATTGCTGGTTAAAGAGAAAATTAACAAAAGTGAGGAAGGATATTAGCTCTCGTTAAGTGGTATCTGTATGAATAAAGCTTAGAAATACCAAACAGAAGGCATTAAACAGGAAATTAGAGATGCAAGTAATAAAAGCACAATGGCAATTATGGACATCTTTAAACTGCAAATAGAGTGGGCAAATCAAATGATTTATAATACTGTAGAGGAGGAATTTCTGGAATGTGTGCACATTGGTTTTCTAGATCAATACACTTAAGAACCAGATAGACAGCATGCCATTCTAGACTGAGTATAATGTAATAAGAAAGGAATAACTGGAAGGTCTAGTTGTATGAGACCATGACAGAATTCTTCGTTAAGATGGGAAGTGACATATTGATTCTGAGACTGGGGTCCAGAACTTAAATAAAAGAAACAATTTTGGCATGAGGCACGAACTAGCTATGATAAATTGGGGAACATTACTTGAAGGATGACAGTGGATAGACTACTGTAAATGTTTAAAGAGCGCATAGAGGAACTGCAACAATTTTTCGTTTCCTGATGATACGGAGCTTTCAGGCCATCATGGTCACATGCCAACATTTCTGGCTCAGACCTGCTTATGTGTTTCATCTAAGTTCAACGCAAACTAAGGGACAAGACCTTATCTTCCACTTAGGCATCTAACAGCCTTCAAGACTCAATGTTGAGTTTAACAATTTCAGATCATGAATACCACATTCCTATTACCTACCCCACAACCCCAGGTTCTGTCATGAAATAGTTTGCTTTCAGTACAGCCAACCCATTTTCAACTACTCACAATCCCCATTATTACCCAACGAGCTTCTCTTCTTCCCTGGCCGACTAACAACAATCCCTTCGTCAACCTACCTTTTTATCTCTCTCAATTTGGGTTCCCTCTCCACCTAACCAATCACTCCTTCTCCCACCCCCCACAACCCCTGTCATCAGCATAAATACCACCTTTTCCGAGCTGCTTCCTGTTCTGAAGGGTCACAGGTCTCAAAGCATTAACTCTGTTTTTTTCACCACAGATGCTGCCAGCCCTGCAGAGTTTCTTAAGCAGTTTATGTTTTTGTTACAGATCTCCAGTAACTGCAGTTCTTTGATTTATAGTAATTGTTCATTGCTGACCTGCATGAAACTAAAAGGGGGAAGGAGACTCAACCATTATTAACAAGGGAAATTAGGAATAGTATTAGACCCAAGGAAAGGCATATAAATTGGCCAAAAAAGCAGCAGATCTAAGGATTGGGAGCAGTTTAAATTTCAGAAAAGAAGAACAAAGGGATTGATTGGGAGAAAACAGAGTACAAGAATAAGCTTGCATGAAAGCTTACATACAAACTGATTACAAAACGTCTACAAATATGTGAAGAGAAAAAGGTTAGTAATGACAGATGTAGGTCCCTTACAGTCAGAAACAGGAAAGTTATTAATGGGGAGCAAAGAGATGGCAGATGGAAATTTGATATAGATGATCTACAACCTCTGTTAAACTGCACACTGAACAGTTTCATGTCTGTAAACTTCATATGAACTGCACACAATATAAACATGAGGAAGGAAGGAAAGGCATAAAAACAAAGGAAAACTTAATTAAATATATTCTTGGGTTCTGACTTCACAAAGGAGGGCACAAATTAAGGTCTGAGTGAAAATTTGTAGCTCGGGTTGTGGATGCAGTTGTCTGTTAGCTCGCCGAACTGGTTGTTCTGTGGTATGCAGACATTTCATTACCCTGCTAGGCAACATCATCAGTGCGACTTCTAATCGAAGTGTTGGTGTTCTGTTTCGTTCCAGATTTATATGATTCTCTGGCATGATGGTCTTGTCGCTTCTGGTTCTGTTGTTTTAGCAGCGGTCTGTGTACAGGGTCTATTTCCGTGTGTTTGTTAATGGAGTCCCGTGTTAAGAACCAAACCAGAGGATCATATAAATCTGGAAGGAAACAGACCACCAACGCTTTGATTAGAGGTGGCTGTGATGATTTTGCCTAGAAGGGTAATGAAACGTCTGCACACCACAGAACATGCAGCTTGGTGAGCCAACAAACAACAGGAGGACACAAATAATGGTCCAATAATGTTAGAGAAGACAGAATCTAGTGAGACAGAGGAACCAAAGGAAATTAGCAGAGAAATGGTGTTTGGGAAATTGGTGCAATTAATGGCATATAAATACACAGGACCAGCTAATTTGCATTTCAGAGAGCTTACATAAGTGGCCCTTGAAATAATGGATGCATTGGCAGTCATCTTCCAAGGTTCTATAGACTCTGAGGTTCCTATAGATTGGATGGTAGCTAATGTAACCCCACTATCAAATGGCGAAGCAGGTTTGCAAGGGCTGAATAGCTTATTCCAGCTCCTACTTTCTATGTTTCTAGGTTTTGAGCAAGGGGTTTATGAGACAAGAACAAACTAAAGGTCTGAGATTGGATGAGAGAAGAAAAGATTGACTGAGCAAGTTAATCTTCCTGGGCCAATGAAAATGATGATGGGCTAAGGACACACACAAAGAAACAAAGAAACAAAGAAAGGATATGTCTAGAGAAAGTATGTTGCTAACTGAAAGGAAAAAGAGAAAACCTGAAATAAGCAAAGAAAGGAAAACAAAATTCAAAACAAAATAAAATTGTCAACAGAAATACATAAGACTAGACTGAAAGAAGGTACACATAAACCATTTTTTTCTCCTGGTAGGAGTGTTTAGAATCCTTGAAGTAATGAGAGAAGAGATAAAAGGTCAAGTGTTCCATCTCTTGCACTTGCAGAGTAAGTTGCTATGGGAAGGAGAACAGGTGTGGAGGGTGACTGAGGAGCAGAGCAAGGTATCTCAGAAGAAAAGGTGTCTTCAGAATTCTGAAAGTAGAGGGGCTGAGAAATGCATTTGGTGATGGCATCATGTTGGAAGTGGCAGAAATAGCAGAAAATAATCAGCAATGCTGTGGTCTAACCACTGCTCACAATTGGGGTTTTGTCTACATTGGAGAGAACAATTTTGTGGAATTCCTCTGTTCATTCTGGAAACATGACTTATATTTCTGGTAGCCTATCGTTTTCATTCTCCATCTTGCTTTTACACTGACATCTCTGTTCTTGGCCTACTATACTGTTCCAGTGAAGCTCAATGCAAACCTGAGGAACACCTCAGGTTTCAATTAGGCACTTCAAAGCCTTGTGGACTCAACATTCAGTTCAACACCCTCAAGCTGTAAAGTCTGCCCCATTGCTTTACATTTTCTTTGCACGTTATTTTCAAGTTTGTACATTCTTGCAGAAGCCCTCAATCCCATATTTTCCCATACGTTCTCTAAATTTGACTTAGTGATCTGCATCCTTGGTTAAATTGTGTATTGTTTCACGCCTGTAAACTTTATACGAATTGCACAAAATGTCAACATGAGGAAGGAAGGAAAGGCATAAAA